CCTGAGACGGACACCGACTTGGCCAGGGTCCAGTCCCCTGCCTGACCTCTCAGCTTTGCCCTCCTCCTCCCATCCCCGCTCCAGCTCTGCCCATCTGCTGCAGAGGTCTCTGCTGGATCCCCTTCCCCAACTTGTTCTTGAAGTCCCTGGACCCAGATCTTGCCTGGAAGATGAGAGGGGTCACCAGCCAGTGGCAGCACCCTGGCCCCCCCAAACACACACACACGAGGCAGCAGGCCTCCGACCTCCACCTGACATGGAAGGACAGGGCCATAGGAGGTGGCCCCGGGCATGGTCTGGGGCGTCCTGCTGGCACTGACAGGGTGTCAGTCTGATTCTGGCCCTGACAACCTCTGTACCCTTCAGCCATTTGGGGGCACAGCTGCTGTCATCCCCAGGAGGGGCACAGTAGGGGAATATTCTACAGACACAAAGAATACTCTGTAGGAAGCCGTGTGGGAGAGCCTGTTGAGTGCCATGCTGAGCCAGGAAAGACAAGGCACGGTGCTGGGTGCCTGTGGAGGGCAGAGGGGCAGGAGGAGGCGCTCTGGTTTAGGGTCCCACAGAGCTGGGTCCACACCTCCCCGCTGCCCCTGCCACTGCAGGAAGTGTCCTTACCACCTAGAGCTCTGTTCTCTTGTCTCTAGAAAACAGACCCAGTCCTGCTGTAGGGGAGCATTTGCGCTGAGAACCTGTTGCAGTCACGACTACCAAAATCTGACCCAGGGTCTGGCACCCCGGGAAGCATGGCCAAAGGCTCTCCCGTGCGCGGAGGCAATACAAAACGCAGTGAGAGGTGGGGTGTGACCTGGAGAGACGTGGAGGGTGGGATTTGCTCTCTCACGTGGCCAGCGCATGTCTGTGGCAGCGACTTAAATATGAACACCCAGGTTTGCCATGGACATCCCCACGGGGGTGGGGGTGGGGATGGCATGAGTCCACCTCCCACTTTCCAATTCTGGGGAGCAGCCGGTCTCCCCGTTCCCAGCTAAACGCACACATCCGCCTACCACTTCGAGATTGCTTATTGCTGTTCTTTTGTTTTCAGCGTCTCCAACTTGCGTAAATAACGCATCCTCTTAGAAAGGGCTTCACTCTGGTTCTCCTTGTCTCATGTCCGGGCCCTGGCCCCTGTGTGAGGAGAAAAGTAGGGTGTATATCCGTTGTTCCCTTGAAGGGAATCGGCTCACAGCACACACGCACGCTGCGTGGGCTTTTGGCCGTGTGTCACACTAACAGGTAGCAGGGTTTGCGGGGACCAGGGCCACGTGTCTCCCGCCCCAGTCCCCTGATGTCTGTGAACAGCCCTTACAGAACAGCTGCTGGGGATTCGCCAGGTTTTGTAAAGACACGGATGGAGAGATGAGGCGGGAAAATACAGGTGACAGGGAAGGAGATAAAAACAATCAAGTAAGGCCGGTCTGGGCACTCTGCCAGTCGGAGGGGACTTTGGCCTGTTTGGGCACTGGGAGGGAGCCGCAGTGCAGCTGAGTGGCATGGTCAAAGCCACAGCCACTGCTGTCCGTGGGCTGCCCCTGACTTACACCTGGGTGACGGTTCCACCACCCATTTGGCTCTGCCTGTCTGCGGCAGCCTCCAGCCAGCCGGTCGTCTCACGCTTGTGAGGCCTGCGTCCATCCCTCCCTAACAGGCAGCACTGGCCTGGCCGTGGCCCTGCTCAGCTGGAGGCCCTGCCACAGCTCCTCTTGCCTGTGCCATGTGTTCTGAGCCTGGTCCCTATGATGCCTGTGGCACCCTCGCCCCTGATAGCCACAGGGCATACCCTCTGCTGCACCCATGCCACTGCTCTACCCTCCCCACAAGTTCCAGTTCCCCCTGCCTCTGCCCCTAGCATTCCTCTCTGCTGCCTCAACAGCCGGCTGGGTAGGCATCACCACCACCCCCAGTCCCTGGCCAAGCCGGGGGCCTCCTCCAGGCCCCTGTAGCTCCTGAGTACTGAGAGCCTAGCCTGCCCTGTATCACTGGGTACTCAGCTGTGACTGGGGAGACCTGGTCTCCATGAGAGCCAGGGGTGTGGGATCTGCAGAAATGTCGAGTGAGTGAAGCACTGAATGAGTGGACATTTTGCCTGCTGCCTGCCTGGTGCAGCTCTCTGCCTGGCGGGCCTGCCCAGCGGTGCAGGGCATCCCCAGGTGGCCTCCTGCCTCCCTATCTGACGTCCCCAGCAGCCCACTCTGCATGCAGTGGCCCAGCCGTTCTCTCCATCCCATGTTAGTTGTCCAAGGGCAGGGGGCCTGTGGAAAACTGGTTTAAATGACAGGTCCAGGCGGCACAGAGGCCTGGCCCGGGTGCCACCAGCTGTGTGACCCTGGGCCCTGACTCAGCCTCTCTGGAGCTCCAATTCTGTGGGCTGGCTCACAGCAGTCCTTGCCTCCTGGGGTTCCTTGTGAGGATTAAGTGAGGAAGCGCGTGGCAAGTGACTGGCCCAGGGGCAGTGTCCCTCTTGTGCTCACTGCATACAAGGTGTGTCTGTCGGTCAGGACAGCTTTGGTTGTAAGCCTCAGAAACCCAGCTCGACCTGGCTTATGAGCAAAAGAGGGCTTCGCTAGCCGAAAACCCCAAGTCATCCAAGGGGCCTGGCTCACATCCCGAAGGCTACCTTTGGAGTGGAGTCAGCTCACTAGCTGGGGGAAGCTGGGCCTCTGAGGAAAACTAGGGCATAGTAACTGGAAAAGGAGGGATGGAGGGAGGGCAGGTGGAGGCAGCTGGTGCCCAGGTGACTGAGGTTGTTGGAGGGAGACCTTCCTCATGGCCCAAGCCTTGGGAGGTGGTGCTTGGGGCCTCACTCTCCTTGGGTAAAAATGACTTCTGACTTCTGTCTCCCTGCATCAGGCATGGCCCGGTCAGAAGAGCTACCTGCCTGGCTGACCCTGTGCTTGGGCAGGCCCCTTTCCCTCTCTTAGCCCATTTTCCCATCTGTAAAATGGGCTTGTTGGAGGAAGTGATCTCTGGGTTGTTCTGACTATAATACAGTAGCTGAACTTTGCTGGGCACAGGGGACTCAAAGAGGAAATGGACGTGCACCTGCGCCCAGCATCCATCCCTACATCCCCCCCACCCCCAGCCTTGCTTCCTGAGTGTCTGGTACAGAACCAGGCCACTGAGAATGGTTTAATCCATGGCATATAATTGAAATATCCAAAGCAAATATAGTGGATTTTTTTTTATTTCTCTCTGTAAAACTGAATTAAAGCCTCCAAGTCTCAAAATAAACCTGTATGTACCCCCAGCTCACCGTCCCACCCCCCGCCCCCGGAGCCACATCCCCTGTGCCCTGGAGAAGCCTCCAGCTTCCTTGCCCACCACACCTCCCCAGCAGCCCACTCTGCATGCAGTGGCCTCAGCACCCCTGCCCCTTCCCTGTGCCAGGCCTGCCAGAGTGGCTCACCTCCCTCAGAGTAAAATGGTTGTAGAAAAAGCAAGCAGCCACAGGCTCTCACACCGGTCTCAGCTCTGACGGCATCTCCCTCCTCTCTCCGCCTGCTTACCCCCTGCCTGCTCCACTGGCTGCCTTCTTTCTCCACCACCTCAGCACACTCCCACCACAGGGCCTTTGCTCTGGCTGGTCCCCCTGCCTGGGATGCGCCCCCACCAACTACCCTGATGGTCTCTCCCTCCCTCCGGGTCTGGGCTGAAATGTCACAGGCCCTCCTTGGGGTCCTAAGGGAACACCTGTCTCTGCCCTGCTTCCATGGCGGCATTTTTCTCCGTAGTGCATCCCACCAGGCCGAGTGTGTTGTATTCATTGTCTGACTTTGCCGGCTGGACTGTCAGCTCCACCTGTCTTGGTGACGGCTGTGTTCCCAGGGGCAGGCATGGTGCCCAGCACACACTACACAGTCACTCAGCATCTCCTCAGTGACCGAGGTCCCTTAGGCTCCTTTATCTCATGTGGGACCTTGGCTTTATTCCTAGCATTTTGTCCTGGGTGGGTCAGTGGCTTCTGTTTGGAGAGGGACCTCTGAGCTTCCTTGCCCCATGTCCTTCCTCCGTGCCTGGGGCTTCCTTCCCCTGGGGCCAAGGGAACGGAGCTGTGCCTTGTTTGCCTCTTCATGGCGTCCTCCTCTTTGTTCTCTCCTGCCCTAGCTCCCATCAGCCCCTGGTGTGCCCAGAGCGCAGTGCAAGACCCGGCTGAGTGTGGGAGGGTGGATCCCTGCGGGGGGCTCTCATTCATTCCCTGGGAGGTTGTGGCTCATCTCGCTGTGCGCCTCGGCTGGCCTGTGGTTTGTGAGCAGTTGCCATGAGCACTGTCCTTGGCTGCTGTTTGTGAGTGGGCTACAGTGCCTCCTGAAGCCATTGCCCACCCTGCTGCCTCCCAGGCTGCCCACCCCACCCAGGCCTGGGCCACCTGGGTCCGGATGCTTTGGGAGGAGACCAGCCCAGGGGCCCCAAGTCCTTCGGAGCAGGCTTCCCAAAGGTGTGTGTCCTAGGAAAACCAGCCTTGCTTGTCATTGTCAGTGAGTCAGGGGGAGAGGAAGTCACAGAGCGTGGCTTGGTCAGCTTGGTTTTGCTTGGGAGCCTCAGCAGCGGTGGACTGTGCATGCACTAGTAGTATTCTAGGATCTCCATCCACTTTGTTAGCAGCTTTGGAGTTCAGTAGCATCCGCAGACCTTGCTTCTCAACAACACTTGCCCAGGAGCCGCAGCCCACTGCCCCATCTCTCCCACCCCCCACAGCCCCCGCCAAGATCCCAGGGCCCCTGTAGAGGGACTCTGTAGCCCAAAGATGGCCTGTGACGGCCCTGTAGGTTCGGAGGGATTGGGTGGGGATGGAGAAGTCCTTGGGCCCTGTTGTGGCAGCTCCCTGGTGTGAGCAGGTCTGAGGGTGTGCATAGTGACTTGGCTGTGGCTTTGGTCTGGCCAGGTCTGGCTTTGGTCTGGCCAGGGTGGGCTCTAAAGGGGCAATGATGACCAGAAGTGGACTCAGAGCCCACAGCAGTCCCCAGGGGCCTAACCGCGCTGTGTGTCTCTTCCTGCAGATGCAAGCCCACCGGCGCGCCTCCTTGCCACCCGGCCGTGCTGCGGCCCTGGCCCCGAGCGGCGCCCGGTCCTGGGCGAGGCGCCGCGCTTCCACGCGCAGGCCAAGGGCAAGAACGTGCGGCTAGACGGCCACTCGCGCCGCGCCACGCGGCGTAACAGCTTCTGCAACGGCGTCACCTTCACGCAGCGGCCCATCCGCCTGTACGAACAGGTGCGCCTGCGCCTGGTGGCTGTGCGCCCTGGCTGGAGCGGCGCGCTGCGCTTCGGCTTCACGGTGCACGATCCGTCGCTCATGAGCGTCCAGGACATCCCCAAGTACGCGTGCCCCGACCTGGTCACGCGGCCAGGCTACTGGGCCAAGGCGCTGCCTGAGAACCTGGCGCTGCGCGATACAGTGCTGGCCTACTGGGTGGACCGCCACGGCCGCGTCTTCTACAGCGTCAACGATGGTGAACCCGTGCTCTTCCACTGCGGCGTGGCCGTGGGCGGCCCGCTGTGGGCGCTCATTGACGTGTACGGCATTACGGATGAGGTGCAGCTGCTGGGTAGGTCTCGGGCCGCTGGAGGGGGAGGGTGGCCCAGCCCATCCTTGCCCCCTGCAGGCAGGGTCCTAGGGCGCCTTTATCACTCACAGCCATGTTCTCAAGGCTTCTTTTGAAAGGTGCTGCCCAAGCTCTCTGTGTATTGCAGCTCATTGATTTCTCAGGCAGCCTGCCTCCCGCATGGGCAGATGAGCCAGCTGAGGCACAGAGGGGTTACATCCCTGTGTTGCAAAGCTAGCATTGGAACCCCCAAGGGCTGGCTTGGCGTCCATGCCCTTCCTCCGGGTCCCTTGCTTCTCACTCGTCCCTTGCTTCTCACTCGTTCATTCACTCTGTTCATTTACTCACCCATTCATGAACTCATTCCCGCATGTACTTATGTGGTTGTTCACACAGGCACCTGCTCACTCATCCCTTGGTGTACTCACTCAGCAGCCAAACTTGGGTCTGCTGCAGGCACCTGTGTGGCGCCTGCCCCGCCAGCAGCCATCAGGCAGGGGAGTCAGAGCCAGGCCCGCACCCGTTCACCAGGCAGGCGGATGAGGAGGAACTGGGCTCTCACCGGGGAGGCAGCCATTGGTGCTGAAGTCTTGATGTTGAGAACTCAGGGGGAGTAGAACTCACGCCCTTGTCTTGACACCTGATGGATATTTTTGCTCTTTGGAAAACTGAATTAAAATGCACATGGAAGTAACCCTTTTAAAGGGTACAGTAGAGTGACATTCAGTTGGAAACCATCACCACTGTCTCTAACATTTCTCCACCCCAAGGGAAACCTGGACCTGTACTATTCTGTTTCCTGTCTGAGCTCTTAGCCCTTGAACCTGCACATTGCCCCTGAAGCAACCCAGCCTCAACCTCTGGGGGACGGGACAGGTTCCTCAGGGCGTCAGGACACAGCCCTCTAAGTAAATTCCCTGCAGTGAAAGGCACGGATCTGTGCACCTGTCTGTAACCCAGGAAGGTTCCCACTGCCCTTCCCAAGTCAACCCCCGCCCTTCTACAGAGGTTGCCACTGTTCCGGTCTTTCACCGTGGATTAATTTTGCCTGCTGTTGAACTTCACCGAAGGGGACTCACACGTCTGTAGGCACTGGTGTGTGGGTTCTTTATCTCAGCAGTCTTTGTGAGGTGCATCCCTGTTGTTGCCGTATCAGTAGCTTGTTCCTTCTTATCACCGAGTGGTGTTTCCTGATGCAGATTCCCAGGATGTAGAGTTGAGTGTTGGGCTGTCTCTGGATTTTGAGCCTTGTACTTTGAGGGAAAGCCAGCTTGGGCTCCTTGCCCTCCACGCCCAACACAGGGCACAGAGGGACAGTTCACGAATGCAGGCTGTGGCTCCCCAGCGCCTCCCTGAGGGCAGAAGGCAGCAGGGAGGCACAGGGACCTCTTCCCCTCCTGATTCTCCACTTGCCCGGTGTGGCCCTGGCCTGGTGACAGAACCTCTCTGTGCCTTTTTTTTGAGAAAGGCTACAGCTGCTTAAGGCACATTTGAAGGCTGCTGCACACATTTTTTTCTATATTAGCTTACTAAGGATATTTTCCACTCTTGATCTTGCTGAGTAGGGTGAAGTCTTTTCATTGGGATTTGAATACGATTGTCGCAGATGGCACCCAAAAACGGACTACTTTGGGTTCAAAATTCTGGCTCTGAAGTTTAGTAGCTGTGAGAGTTTGTGCAAGTGATTTTTAAAAAATACTTATTTATTTTATTTGAAAGGCAGAGTTAGAGAGATAGACAGAGAGAGATCCTCCATCTGCTGGTTCACTCCCCAAATGGCTACAATGACCATGGCTGGACCAGGCTGAAGCCAAGAGCCAGGAGCTTCTTCTGGGTCTCCCACATGGGTGCAGGAGCCCAAACACTTGGGCCATCTTCCACTGCTTTCCCAGGCCATAGCAGAGAGCTGGCTCAGAAATGGAGCCACTGGGACTTGAACCGGCACCCATAGGGGATGCCGGCACTGCAGGTGGTGGCTTAACCCAGTCTGCCACAATGCTGCCCCACGCCTTGAGTTTTTATGTCTGTAAACTGGGTTCACAGCAGTGCCCACCTCATGGGCTTGTTAGTGGGGTTACAAGAGATGCTGGGTGAGAGAGATCAGCACAGTGCCTGGCACATAGAAGGCTAAGAAATATCGTGTGCATCTGCAAATGGGCCAGAGTTTCACCTCCAGGAAGTGCAGGTTCCCAGAACTCCCGTGACTCTCTGAGAGCTCCTGGAAAATGGGAGTGCTGTCCTGCCTCATTGCCCTGCCTGTTCACAGCCTGTGTCTCCAAGCAGCAGCTTAGAAACCCCAGCCGCTGACAGGCGCAGCAAGTGGGTGAGGGTTTGGTACACTGTAAACTGGCAGCAGCCTTTGAGGACTGAATGAGACAGCGTACTCCTGGGAGGAGACCCGGGCTCTGCCACTGCCCCCACCCCGTCTATTTGCTCACTCAGCAAGCTGCTGTGAACCCTTGTGGTGTTTGACGCCCCTGGAAGGGAAGGAGAAGCAGATTCTGATGGAATGTCAGTGAATCCAGCAGACCCGTGCCTCAGTTTCCCTCTCTGTGGTTGTCCCCGAGAGGCCTGAGTTGCTGGGACATACCAGGTGCAGGTGCTACAGGACAGTGTTCATAAAAGTGAATAAAAGGGGGAAATGAGATTAGAAGACTTTCATCCTTGGGTCATGGGATGATGGGTAAACTTCACTTCCTTTTTTATATGTCTGAAACTTTAAAAATATATATACACCGATGGTGGGGAGAGAGAGAGAGAAAGCAAGCAGGCTTGTATTGCTTTTATAATCAGTAAAGAGTGACTTTTCCTTTGCAGAGGTAACATGAGCTAATGGAGGGGAAGTTTGTGGCACATGAAAAGTTGTCTCTCCTGCTCCAGGCACCCCCTTCCCAGGGCTCCCATGTTCAGACCTCACACTGCCCCAGTGCAGCCTGCTCCCCCTTCCCAGGCAGCTCAGGGCCAACAGTGTGGGAGCCCTACGGCCGCCCTGTGGCCCACGGTAGGAGGCTGGTCAGGCAGAACAAGTGATGCCAGCCCCAGGCTACGGCGTTACACGCTGCATTGTCAGAAATCTTTGGTCATGAGAGAAGCCCCGTTTAATCTCATTTATGCAAAAGGGAGCTCATGTCTTATGTGACTGGACACTCCAGGGAACAGCTGCTTTGGGCCTGGCTGGATGCAGCACTGGGTCTATTGGTTGGATTTCATTTCTCACGCCACTGTTGCCGTCGCTGGCTTCATGCTCAGCCGAGCTTACCCTGTGGGGCAGAGGGAAAGTGGCTGGCAGCTCCAGGCCCGTGCCTCACCAGCTTGACAAATCCAGCAGAAGGAAATGGGCTTTTCCCAACGATCTAGTTGTAGTCACAAGACTTTGCCTCATCTGTCTGGCTTGGGTTGTGTACCCATCTCCAAACCCATGGCCACGGCCAGGGGGTGGGACAATGATTGGGTTGGGTTAGGGCTCCCCCTCCCAGCCCTTACCTCTCCCTGGAAGAAGGATGGGGGCCTCGCCAGAGGGTCGTTTCCCTTATCTGAAAGCGCTGAGAAACTTTGAGAGCGGTTACTGTGCACCTACTGGGTGCCCAGCCCCAGTGCTGAGAGCTTGCAGGGGCGTCCTCACGAGAGCCCTGAGGCAGAAAACAGTGTTGCCCCCATTTGCAGACTTGGCATTGAGAGAGAACTTGGCAAAGGCCATGTAACTGTCAGTGTTTCTGAGTCAGGGTTTTCTTTAGTGTTATGAACAAGGGATCTGATAAAGTCTTGAACATATCCCTCTACACACAGGGCGTGGAGGGCTCAGTGCACCCCTCCAGGCTGCAGGTGAGGAAACAGGCCCAGAGAGAGGCAGGGCTTTGCCTAAGGCCACCCAAATGGTCTGTGGCCATGGTAGAGGGGGAAGACTTTGGCCTGGGACCTGGGAAGTATCTCAGTGTGAGAGCCTCGAGAACCCATCAGGCAGGGAGGAGTGGCTGCAGATAGCTTCACGCACAGCCCCTGTGGGCAGCGGCACAGGACAACTGGCCTTTGCAGTTACTGTTTTCCTTCCAAAGAGCCCAGGCCAGTGCCCACCTCCCCGTCCCCAGCAGGAAGGTATTTGCATGGCAGGTTGCCAGAAGGATTGGCCTTTCCCAGTCAGGGGTGAGATCGCCACTCTGTGACTGCTGGCCTATCCCACTAAGGACTCCTGGCAAGGGGCCACGCATCGTTACTCCACAATTCTTCCCTGCTGAGTCCTCCCACAGGCCAGTGACACAGGGGTATGGGTCTCCACTTTGCAGGTGCAGACCCCGAGGCCACAGCCAGGACTGGCGGGGTCCAGTCAGGATCCATTGCCTTCAGTCTGGTCATCTTTGGCTGGCAGGAGGGCAGCCTCTGGGAAAGCAGAGCAGGGGCCACCCCAGCAAGCCCAAGTCAACACCCAGATCTTTCCTTCGTGACACCTGCCCCTGTCTGCCTTGGGCAGAGGAGGAGGGAGCTCTGCCCCTAACCCCTCTACCTATTCTTAGACCTTGAGAGTATCTGTCCCCTTTCTCTGTTCTCTACCGAATTATCCCCAGGAGCACAGAACTGAGCCCCCGACTAGTGCCCCCAGCAGGCCCATCTCTGCTGTCACAGTGCCCTCTCCAGCTCATCTCCGGAGCCCAGGGACGCTGCCCCGCACTGCACTGCAGGCAGCCAGGCTCACCCTGCAGCGCCACATGCCCAGCTCCTGTCCCTAGGCTCTTCCGCTGGGCACAGGGCACACAGAGGGTCTCTCCCCAGCTTCTGGGTGCTGCTTGTGGCTGCTGGGTATCCCCAAACACGTGGTGGTCATCCTCCCCCATGGCTCCTCCTGCTCCTGCCTGGGCGGCCTGTGTGGAGAGCCCCAGGTCGAGATCCTGGGTGTGCTCTCGCTTTCCTCTGTATCGTCTTAAATTGTGTAATGCAACATGCACGTGGAGAAGTCTATAAAAACAACTGTAGATGTTAGCAGACTGCCACAAGGCTTCTCCTTATTTACC